TATACAGAGCGATGGGGTACAACGCCACCTCCTGCCCTGGTCTCCTCACAGAGCCCCCGTATACAGAGCGATGGGGTACAACGCCACCTCCTGCCCTAGTCTCCTCACAGAACCCCCATATACAGAGCGATGGGGTACAAAGCCACCTCCTGCCCTGGTCTCCTCACAGAGCCCCCGTATACAGAGCGATGGGGTACACGGTCACCTTCTGCCCTGGTCTCCTCACAGAGCCCCCGTATACAGAGTGATGGGGTACAAAGCCACCTCCTGCCCTGGTCTCACAGAACCCCCATATACAGAGCGATGGGGTACATGGTCACCTCCTGCCCTGGTCTCCTCACAGAACCCCTTTACACTGAATAATGGGGTACACAGCCCTCTTCAGGCCTCCACACTCACCAGTTTGACGCAGATCAGGAACGGCGGTTTGGCTTCTGTAAAACGAAGAATTGGAATCTTTGGTTTTGGTCTTTTCTGAAAGAAACAAAAAAGAACCTAAGTGAAGTATATCCCGAGGAAGGAACAAGAATAGAGGACGTAAGACGTTACAGGCTGCAGGTAGTGAAGTGAGGATCGGGATGACAGCCTGGAAACTCAACCCCCCGATGTTTATACCCTCACAGGTTCTCTGTATCTGTCTGCATGCACATGCGTTGGATCATTATAACCACCAAAAAGGATCGATCTTCCTCCAGCCTATCACTCATAACCAGCTTCTGAAGCCAACATAAGAGGAAAGTTCCCCGCAGTCCGCCATCTTTCCCATACGGCACCTCAAGCCCTGATGAAGGGGTATTGTCCAAACCCATGAAATGTGTTGGCTGCTTTATTCCACTTATGATGTAATAAACAATTTTGGGCTCTACAATTGCTGACGTGGTGCTCTCTTCTCAGACTGCAGTATACAGAGATTTTGAAGCCGTGCTACTCACGTTGGAGCTCTTATATATCACACAATAAGAACTGTGTGTACCCTAAACCGACCAATCAGAATGTAACCTTCGCCATGCAGAGCAGTTTTCAATCTGTGTGCCGGCATTGGTCAAACACAAATAGATCTGATTCCTAGCCGTGTAGGCAAATAATCTCAACTGTTTTCTATTACAGAAATATTTTTGGGAGGGTGACATCCAGGACGAGACACTTTGGGGTCTATTAATAATAAAACGTTGCAGTTATTTGTCCTGGGAAACTGAATGTACATTAGTTGTGTGCGAGAAGGGGGCCACATGGAATGTTCTTGGGCTATTGTATCTCCTGAATATTGTGGGCAGTAGTGAATCGGGAAAATACCCCATTATGGCCACTAGATGGAGCCGAAGATCATAAGAAATAAATACTTTGTAGTCACAAGAGATACAATGTA